GGGGGGTGGTGGTGTAGAAGAAATGGTGGTGTTGGACTTGGAGGTTTTCAAGGAAATGAGAGAGATAGAGGATGAATGTTGCATCAAGGCTTGAAGATGATTTTCTCCAACCTCTATCCCCAATGCCACCTGCTGGTTATATGGACCAAAAGGAGGGGGAGCATGGAAGGAAAGGGTGGGGGAAAAGGACCAAGCCTTTCCCCCACCAAAATATCCCCCGGATACAGATCTTTTCTGGGTTAAAAGGCTACACAGCTGTAAAGTGTATCACACAAGGAACATGGCCGGCCCATTATTGGGCTTGGAAGTGGCCGGCCGGCCACCCCCCCTAGTTGGCCGGCTAGGGGTCAAAAAGGCCAAGTAGAAATAGTGGCCGGCCACCACATATTGGTGGCCTCCCAGGTCTCCTCTTCACAACCCTGTGGTTCGAATTTGGAAACTCTAAAACAGGAGAGAGAACAAGCCAATTTTAGGAGGGGTTCAAAAGGGTCAAAAGGAAATAGTGGCCGGCCATATGATATTAGGATCCTCCCATGTGTGTACAACACAAATATGTGGTTCAAAGTTCAAGAAAGTGGCTCAAGGGTGTTCAACATTGGCTCGGAAGGAGGGGTTCAAAAAGGTCAAGAAACATTAGTGGCCGGCCATGAAATTTTAGGGTCCTCCCATGTGTGTACATCACAAACATGTGGTTCAAAGTTCAAGAAAGTGGCCCAAGGGTGTTCAACATTGGCTCGGAAGGAGAAAAACGGGCATCGGAGGGCGTCGGGGAAGTAAAAACTGGTTGTTGAGACAATTACTGGCCTCCCATCCTTCTACGGTCTTCCCAGTGATAAAACAGAGATTCCTGCCAAAAATGAACAAAAACCGATGCAAAACAAATGCTCGGGGGCCAAAACACGCAGTTCGGGGTCCCGAAAATGGGCTGCTAAGCATCGAAAGTGGCATTCGGCCACGAAGTGGGTTTCTCAGACCCCAGTGTCCCTCAAAAGGGGGAAAATAAGATGTATGCCAAAATTTAGAACAAACAGAGATGGTTAAGCGGTCCCGAACCGAGGCACACGGCCAACGGTCCCGAAAAACCGGAAACCGGGCTCCGAAATGGGAGAAATGGCCTACGGCCACAAAATGTAGCCCACGGCCACTGAGAGATGGTCTACAGGACCTCTCCCTCCCCTCAGGAAAAGAAACAGAGAAAACCGAGTCTGGTTCGCAAACCGAGGCAAGGCACATAAGAGTGTTCGGAAGTCCGGAGGCAGGGCTCGCAGCCAAGACTCTGAAACTTTTGAACGAGCACATTATGCAATATCACCAAGTGCTCAACTGGTGACGTCTGAGTCTCAAGGTTGGTCAAAAATGGGGTGTCTACACATAGATGCACCAACCAGCAGCAAACCAGCAGCAAACTTCCTAGATTCAAAACCTGGCTGCACACACAGCAAAGGCAGACTTCTTATGAGCATACCTGATTCAACCAGATCTGCCAGCATCAAACCAGCAAACAGGACTACCAGCAACAACCCAGCAGTAGACTTCCTTGAGTCAATCCTGGTTACACACACCAGCAGACACGGATTGACAGACCAGCAGACACAAAAAGGCAGGCACAGTTCTCCACATTGCTAACCTGACTCCCCTAAATCAAATTGGCTGACTACCTTGATTAAAGCAGACTAGAGCAGAAGCATACACACCCCATCTGGCATGAAGCTGACTACACAGAGGGCAACATACCAAGCACACACACCCCAGAAGCACAAACAACCCAGCAGCAGAGCCCTAAATATAAGAAGTCACCTGATTCAGATTAGCCACTACATCATGCACTGAGTATTGGAACTCTGGCAGCCCAGACTTTGCCCACAACCCAACCCTAACTTTCACTATTTCACCAAGCTCTTCCATATTAGGCTGATTTCCTTTAAAAACACACTCATTTCTTAACCTCCATACTGACCATAACATTGCAATTGGAACAAGCCTCCAAATCCTCCCAACTGACTTCTTAAATTTTGTTCCCAGCCACCATAACAGCACACCATCAACTGTAGCAGGAATGACCCAATATACTCCCCACCATTGCAGCATAGATGACCAAACCTTCCAAAGCTCCAAGCACTGCAATAGAATATGATCCACTAACTCTGTTTCTAGCTTGCAGAAAGGGCACAAATTTTCCATATTGCTACTTAAGGCCCCAAACCTCTGTAAAAGACTAATTGTTTTAACCTTCCCCCTCCATGCCAACTAGCTCAAGAACTGAGCTTTTGGTGGAGCCACACCTCTCCATATCAGTTTAGGAACCTGCAATTTTGGGCCTTGAACCAACTCATACCATTTACTCATAGATAGCTCAAAAATTGAGCTTTTGGAGGGGCCACACCTCTCCATAACAGATTAGGAACTTGCAATTTTGGGCCTTGAGTCTCCTCATACCATTTCCTCATTGAAGCCACAGTGAATTGACCTGAAGGAGATGCAGTCCACCTGACTGAGTCTGGCAGCTCCTCATTAATCCTGGGAGCAGCTCCTGTCAAGTCTTGCAGCCTTTGAACCTCCTCTTCCTCCCACGCAAGAAGAGATCTTGAAAACAGAAGCCTCCAATTTCCTGAGATATCCCTCCTCTGCATGAAAGAGCTCAGATTCCCCTCTTTATCCACAGATAATCTAAACAACCTTGGGAACTCTACCTTCAGTTGAACATTCGACAGCCACTTATCATGCCAAAAGTGAATCCTACATCCATTTCCTATCACAAGCTTGCAATTAGACGTAAAGAATTCAAAGAGCTCAGCATTCTCCCTTAACACACTCAGAATATCACTCCAAATAAGAGATTCTTTGCCAGTCCCTTCCATCACTGGTAACCATCTACCACCAACTCCCCCATACTTGTTCAAAATTACTTTCTTCCACAGAGATTCATCTTCCACCCCATATCTCCACCACCACTTAGTTAGCAAAAAATCATTAAAGTCCCTCACCCTTCTAATGCCTAACCCTTTATGCTCTTTACTAAGAGTTACTAACTTCCAGTTTACCAAATGAATCTTCCTCCGGATTTCTGAACTACCCCATAAAAATGTTGCCCTCCACTTATCAATTTCCTTAGCTACCCCTTTAGGTAATTTGAAGAGAGAAAGGTAGTAACCAGGCAAACTATCAAGGACAGATTTGATCAGGGTTAGACGACCAGCAAATGAAAGCGTCCTTCTCTTCCATAAGGCTAATTTAGCTTTTACCTTCTCCACCACAGGTTGCCAAGTCTTCTTTCTTCTTGGGTTAGCACCTAGGGGTAAGCCCAGGTACAAAAGAGGAAGCTTCTTACTTAGACAATAAAGTTTAGAGGCAAAGGCTTGAGCCAACTCTCCACTAATCCCAACTCCGCACACCACACTTTTGTGGAAATTTATTTTAAGGCCTGACATAATCTCAAAGCATCTAAGAATCCTCTTAACATTTACTATCTCCTCCCACTCAGCATCGCAAAAAAGAATAGTGTCATCGGCAAATTGGAGATGGGACAGATTCAAATTTCCTGACCCAATAGAAGCTCCCTTAATTAAGCCCAAAGCTTTAGCCCTTTCCAACAAAACATTGAGACCCTCAGCTGCAATGTTGAACAAAAAAGGGGAAAGAGGATCACCTTGCCTTAACCCCTTCTGTGGACTGAACTCTTCTGTTGGTGAACCATTAACAAGAATTGAAATTCTTGCCGTGGTGACACAAGTTTTCATCCAACCCAGCCATCTCTCCCCAAACCCGAGATTGGCCATCACAGAAAAAGGTAACCCCAGTTGACCGAATCATAAGCTTTTTGAAAGTCAAGTTTGAAAATGACACCCTTCTCTTTAGACTTCTTCCACCAATCCATCACCTCATTGGCAATCATTACCCCATCGAAGATATTCCTCCCCCCCAAAAAGGCAGTCTGCACTACTCCAATCACATCTGGGAGCACCCTTTTCAATCTTTTGGAGCCAATCCAATTTCTTTCTATATGACCACACCAAGTTTTTAACCTCCCTTCTTCTAACAACTTCATGAGGTTCTAATGTCCCCAGTTCTGCCAATAGATCAAGCTCATGCAACTCAACTTCAGCCTTTTTAAGTTGGTCCTCCACACAACCAAACACATCAGAATTCCACCGTTTCAACTCAGCTTTAAGACTACACAATTTCACCTTAGCTCTGAACCCAGCCCACCCTTGAACCTGCGAATCCAACCAGGACTTTTGCACAACAGACAAGAAGCTAGGATGCAGGGTCCAAGCATTCAGAAACCTAAACGGCTTAGGGCCCCAGTTTTTCTCATCTTCCATAAGCAATAGAGGACAGTGGTCAGACACCAGTCTAGGTAAGCCCCATAACTTCAAACTAAAATTTTCTACCCAGATGGGATCCAACAAAAACCTATCAATTCTACTCCACCTATCACCGTCCAAAGAATTACACCATGTAAACTTCCTACCTAACATTGGTAAATCCATCATTTCCAGCTGATCAACAAAATTATTAAAATCCTGCATCCCTTTGGAACTTCTAGTGCATCCTCTTCTTTCATCAGGAACTCTAATCTCATTATAATCACCACCCATGCACCAAGGCTTTTGGAAAGAGGATCTTACATTGAGGATAGAGTCCCACAACTTAGCTCTTTGAACCACATCATTTGGTGCGTAAATATTTAAGAAAACACACTGAAATGAACTAGACAGAGTACCTGATAGAAGCAAAAAATTTCTGTTACTGCAACACCCTGATAAGGAGAAGCATGCCTACATATCATTTACGTGTTGAACATTAATCATCTGCTTGTTAATGCATGCAGGATGGTAGCAGTGGAGCACAATTACCTCAACGGCCCAACGGGCATACTACTAAAAGATAGAGAGAGATGATATTTCAAGAATTTCTCTCTCTCTTTATAGTTGCTATTACCTTCAAAACCAACTTTCTAAATCCCGTCCTTTCTTTGTGTTTGACAATCTGTGGTTCCATGGACTTATATACCAAACCTATGAATGGCTCTCTCTCTCTCTCTCTCTCTCTGCCTGCCCTTTTTGTTTACACTAGCAAGTTGGTCTTTGAGCTGTGATAATAACATAATTAAAAATAAAATATTATTCACTGATTTGCAAACTATAGAATCCAGAACTAATAAGACATGCAAGTAAATTTCAAGAAAATTTCCTGTGAAAAGATTAGTGTTATGGGAATAGATGTCCAATGCAAGTCTACTTTCTGGAAGGTCCTAACCTGCGTTGATCTTATTCATTACCTTGCAAAACAGAGGCATGAGGTATGTCAGATAGTTCTGGACGATATTTTTTTTTTTAAACAATTAAAGATTGAGAGCTTGACATGGCATTTTTTTAAATGGTTATTTATTTAATTTTTTTTTTATTGAACTCTCTAAAAAATAGTGTAAATTGCAACAGTAATCCCTATATTTTAGTCTTTGTGTCATTTTGATCCCTATAATTTCAATTGGTTCAATTTTGACTTTGAGTTTATGATTTTGTTTCAATTTGATTCAATTTATTACAATTCTTGACATTTTTTGTGAAAAATATGCATATAAGTGACACATGTCATATTTTTTAGTGTAGAATTATAAATTTATTAAATTCAAAGAGTAAAAATCAACTAAAGTAGTGCTTATTTTTCACCAAAAACACTAAAGGCATTATCAATTGGATCAAAATGACACAAAATTTAAAATTAATGGTGAAAATTGAGTCAATTGAAAGTTGAGAAACCAAAATGATACAGAGCAAAATGTAAGGACTACCGGTGTAATTTGTCCAAAAATATTGTATGTTAGTTCAAAAACAACTAAAATACGTTAGTTTAAGGCTTAATAACTTTTTTTTCTAGATAAAACTACCCTTAGTCTAGTTTCATTATTTCAGTACTCCTATCTACCACTGCCACCTTTAGTCATTGGCAACAACTTTTCAGTGACCACTATTGGTTGCGATAACCATTTTCTAGCGACTCTCTAGCAAAAAGAAATTTTTCACTAACTTAACACAATGACATTTCTCGGCAATCGTTTTTGGAAACTCTCTAGAGAAGTGAAATTTCATTATGCTAACATAAAGAAATTTCATTTTCCAAAATAGAAAATTTTTCAATTAACTGCTTAAATTTTCAAAAATTGAAATTCAATTGAATTTTACTATGTTAGGACATTGAAATTAAAGTCTGTAAAATTTTACTAATCAAAACTAGTGAAATTGCACAAGGTCTGTAAAAAATGACATTTCTTAGTAATCAGTTTTGGAAACTCTCTAGTGAAGTGAAATTTCATTACAATAAGTTAAAGAAATTTCAATTTCCAAAACAGAAATTTTTTCAATTAATTGCTTAAATTTTCAAAAATTGAAATTCAATTGAATTTTACTATGTTAGGACATTGAAATTTTACTTTTAGATGAAGATAATCAAATTTCACTAAGTGGTTAAAAATTGCAAAATTGAAAGTCAATTGAATTTTCACCATCTTAGGAAGTGGTTAGTGAAATTTCACTAACCAAAGCCAAATGAAATTTCACAAAGTAAAGTTAGTAAAATTTCACTAACCAAAATGCAGTCAAATTAAATAAGGTCAGTCAACAATAAAAAGTGTAAAATTTAATTTCACTAACCAAAGCCAAATGAAATTTCACAAAGTAAAGTTAGTAAAATTTCACTAACCAAAATGCAGTCAAATTAAATATGGTCAGTCAACAATACAAAGTCTGTAAAATTTTACTAATCAAAACTAGTGAAATTGCACAAGGTCTGTAAAATTTCACTAACCTTTATTTTAAATTACTAACTATAGAAATTTAGGCCATGTTTGTTTGGGTGAACATGAGCTTGGGATTGGACTAATAGTCCAATAAAATTATTAATCCGATGCTTGGTTAAACAATTGAAATACGGATTAATTATTTTAAACTTGACTATTAGTTAAGATAGGATACATAATCCAACGGATTCATAATCCTAGGATTATTAGTCATGGGAATACTAATCCAGTCCACCCAAACAAACATGGCCTACAGGTTAAATTATAGTAATTAAATTATCTTAAACTATGACTCATTTGCTCTTTGCCCTTTTGGTGTTCAAACTCAACAATTAATCACTTCAAAATATTATTTGTTACAGCTAAGCTCTCCGGTTAGGATTCTATTTGGAATTTATATAAAATCACAAAGAAAACAATTTTTGAATTTTTATGACAATAGTCTTATATGGTAATCATGTTTGTACTTTATCACTAAGATATAGAAAGCAAAGTTCAAATAGAATCACCAAGTAAGGATATTATTGTTCATAAAAATCAGTAAGTATGTCATATGGTTCATACATGACTTGATTCTGTTTAAATCCTTAGCAAATCCTAACGAAAAAAGTTTAGTATAATAAGACAATACTTCGATGTGATTTACTCTTGAGTTCTGAAATTTAGAAAAAGAAAATGTAAATAAGTCATAATTTTCATAAATAGGGGGGATGGTTTGGTCATATTACATTAAACATGACTTAATAGAATATTCAAAAATAATATGGATTAGATGAAATAAAATACTTAGAAAGAGGATTTATTAAAAAATAACCCATTGAGAAAAGATAAATAATATTTTTTTATATATATGAATAAATTAATAATGCAAATTGTAGGGGAAAAAAATAAATCCATTTACTTTAATTTTAAAAAAAATCTAATAATAAGTGCATACTTAAAATGATAAATTTTACGTTGTTTATGTAGTATGGAATAAGTCTTATATTAAACTATTAGGATGTTATCTAACATTAATTTTAAAGAGAATGTTTATTTTTAAATATTTTATCAATGAATATTTTTTCCATTAAATTTTTTTAATAATGTCTAAACAATTGAATGGTTTTAATTTATATTGAATGAAATTTTAGAATTTTATTAAATAATGCTAAAATACTTGTGGGTCTTTAATAATATATATGCAAAACGTTAGGGGAGGTATGTAATTTACCCATGTTGATAATGAATGAGTTGGTTTATGGGTATTTTTGTCTTTTCACATGCAAATCAAAGGGCAAAATGGTCATTTTACACCCAACTAGCACTATTTGTATGAACTGTAACATATTGGGGGAATCTTGATAATAGTTTCAAAAGTAGGGGAGGTAAGTGTAATTATTGAAATCACAAGAGAAGTCTCAGTAATTGTCAGAAATCTTAGGAGAGATAAGTGCAATTTATCCTTATTTTATTAAAACATACATTTGTAGTAATGTGATTGAATTTATTTTAAAAAAAATTCAATTTATACATTAAATATTTCAATTTATAATGATGTCAATATATTTATTTAAGAAATATAATGTGTGATTGAATTTAATTATGAAATGATTTAATTTTTTTTAACATATAGCTCGATAGATGGGTTTGGGATTTATAATTATTTTTTTGGACCAGACTTGGATAAACATTATAGCGATCCCGATTTTCCCTCCATTGGTTGTTGTATTACGGACTCGGTTCCGTGGATGTCGGTTGTTGCATATGTTTCATTTCCATCCTTTAATTCTTTGTATTTGAGTTTTAGGATATGTTGGGCAGGTTTGTAACAGGTTGGGTGTGTTTTGAAACAAATGGTTGCTACCCAAATTTTGGTGTCTTCGCTCGAGCGAGGCTTTTGTCGCTCGAGCGAGCTCTGTGTTTTAGTTCCTTCGCTCGAGCCAGGGTTCCTTCGC